GAATTCTGGGACATGTTCACTGAGCAATTGGTAGATGTCAGCTCGCCAGAAAACCTGTTGGTTATGGGAGACTTCAATTCTAGATTGGACCCTCAGCTCGACTCTACTGGAGTCCACATAGGGCCTACTGTGTGGGGTAAGAGGCTTTCCATTGACACTTCAGAACGAGATAATGCAATTCACTTGCTGGAAGTGTTACAGAGTTTTGATTTGAAACTCCCTCAAACGTTTATGCAAAATCGTCCTGCGCGTAGGGTTACGTACAAAGAAACCACATGCTCGGACCATTTTTTGGAGCGCCCGAATGTCTCAGAGTGGACCACATTGGACTATGTTATCACGGCCTTGGCGCCGGTTTTTGCCGTTGAAGACATCTCAAGTCACTTTCAACAAGCTGTGAATTCTCGGCACTTGCCCATAATTTGCTCCATTGGGGTCGCTCTCCCGGCGCGTCGACCCCCGCCCAGTACCCCACCGTTGCCGGACTACACTCAAACCTCCCAGTATTATGACAAGTTGGAGTCTTCTCTTCTAAGTTTATGTAACCATTCTTTCGATCCGGTAGCTTCGGTGGAAGGGCATGTGTTGGCTTACACAGATGGCTCTTGCCCCAATAACAGGGTGATCTCCCAGACGAACCCAGCGGGTTGGGGGTTTGTGGTCTCCCCCATTCTACTCGCTTTTGCATTGCATCCCAAACCAACTTCGGATTGGATTACTTCCCATGGCAAAGTGAGAACGAACCCGGATTTCCCGGAGTTCGCTGGGGCGGAGGTATCTTCCAACAATACTGCTGAGCTTCAGGCGCTTATTGAGCTTTTCGATTACTTGTTGTACTTTTCGGGCTTTCCGGAGGGACAAAGGATACATGTTTACACGGACTCTCAGTACGTTCTTGATATTTTACGTGCGCGCTCCCTGCCTGCTACGCACTACAGACTTATTTCCAGGCTCCAAAGGTATTGGGTCGCTATGCGCATTACGTTCAACGTTCATGTGGACAAGGTCCCCTCACACGTGGGCATACCCGGGAATGAGTATGCAGACCGAGTGGCCTACTCGGGAAATTTTTCGCTAGGACGTACAGGCCGTTTTTCGCAACCTCATTCCAGAAGTCTCAGGCCCCCAGAGTTCAATCTGGATCTGACGAACTGGGATTCATTATCGGTACAAGAGCAGAACGTTTTCTTGCGTCAGGCAATTTCCGAAGCTAAGGAGCTTATTCCGGCCCTCCCTTTGACTCCGCACAAACCATGGATTTCCAAAACAACTTTGGGACTCATCGCCGAATTGCGCGATGCTGGGGGACTCGCGCCGGAGGATGTTAAGGCCTTCAGAAAACGTATCAAGGCTTCTGCCAGGAAGGATAAAAAGACTTTTGTTCATACCCGGCTCTCCATAGACTATGAGAGCACGCCCACTCAATGGACAACTCTCCGCAACCTCCGGCGTGGATTCACGCCGAAACCTCCAGGCATCCGGGACACGAGTGGCAAACTCCGGCCTACCAAACAACGAGCGGAAGTTTTTCGAGAATATCTCGCAAATCATGTTTGGAAGTGTGGGGAAGAGGTTTTCCAACCGCGCCCGCCCCTCCATCCGGTCATCCCTGAGATCTATCGGTTGTTCACGGAAGAGGACCTCTACCAGTGCCTCAAGGCGCTTCAAACCGGGAAGGCTCCGGGACCGGATGAAATTCCTGCAGAGCTCATCAAAAGGGCTCCTTATATAGTCCGTGTTTTCCTTTTGTCTCATTACAATAAATGCCTCACCTCTGCTTCTATCCCCGACGCGTGGCGCCTGTCAAATGTGGTCATGTTGGTTAAGGATGTGAAAAAAGACACACTGTCGCTTGACAACTACAGGCCTGTCTCACTCAGCGATTGTTTCTACAAAATATACGCCTCTTTATTACAGAAACGTCTGGCTTTCTACATTGACCCACGAATTCGGGATTCTCAGTTTGGATTTAGGCGGGGCCGCTCAGCAGCGCAACCTATACATATTCTTCGACGATTGATTGAAACTCACGAACGGCAAGTCTCGCCGTTGCATGTTCTTTTTCTGGACTGGTCCAAGGCCTTTGATTCTCTTTCTTTTGCTGCGATTGAGCAGTCTTTGGTGAGGCTTGGCGTCCCTGACCCCTTTGTACGGGCTGTAATGTCCATCTACCAGTCGCCGCAGTTTCGAGTTCGTGACTCGGGCTGCATATCGCAGCAGGGCTCGCAGTCGCGTGGCGTGCGCCAGGGGTGTCCTCTCTCACCTTATCTTTTTGATGTTGTGCTCACGTGCTTGTTCCACGATGTCGAGTGTTCTTACGAGCGCCAGTTTGGGGTACTTACAGGTGTTCTTAATATCCCTTCGCGCCTTTGGGACCTCGAGTATGCCGATGATACAGTTCTGCTCTCACGTTCATCTCTTCAACTCACGCGGCTTCTGCATCTTTTACAGCATCATGCTTTGCAGTTTGGTCTGCAGCTCAATCTCGATAAATGCAAGCACTTGCAGCTTCACTCGGAAAACCGCGTTTCTTATGCCCCCGATCCGGGCGCCGATTGTAGCTGCAGTTGTTGCAACGGCGGGCGCCGTGCAGCGACAGAGTACGTTCCGCTAGCGGAGGAGGTGAAATATTTAGGCATATTTCTTGATGCTACCTGCAACAGTAGGAGTACCACCAGTAAAAGGATTTCCAGGGCAGTACACGCTTCCAAGCTGCTAAAGCCTTTCTTCACGCATGCTGGCCTCCCGACAAAATGGAAGCTCACCGTGTACAAGTCTATCATTCTGTCAATTTTGGCATATGGCATGGAATCATGTTGTCCTGCACCCTCTCAGCAAGGCAGAGTTGACTCTCTTCACTTTAAAAATTTGCGTAGGATTTTTCGTGTGAAGTCTTCTTATTATCATCGGGTTTTACAACCGTCGGAGGCTCCTTGTTCCAATGAATACTTGTCGGAACGTGCAAATGCCTTCACAGTACTTCCCACTCCGTCGCAGCAGTTCTCTTTTAACAGGCTAAAGCTTCTTGGCCACATTCTCCGTCACCCTGATACATATGAGGCGACCAGTACTTTTATGCAGTCGAAAGCGTATCGCTTCATCAGCGGAGGGAACAGATCGGGTCGGCCCAGCTTGCACTGGGCGGAAGTTGCTATGACCGAAGCGTATATGCGGCTACAACATGCAGATACGGATAAGACCCCGGCAGTGGCTGAGATTCACCACCCCTACTGGAGTATCCCGTCGCAACAGTTGGTGAAACAGATGCATTCCGCGAGCAGTCTCCCCGGTATGGACAACACTAGGCTCTTCAGACGAATCAACCCAGTCGCTCAAGATAGACATCTCTGGCAACAGATTACCAAACCTACAAGACAAGTTCGCTGATGCTGCTTTGGTTGATGGGCAAACACCGCTTGCCTTGCACTTGAAAAAAAAAACTCTAAACACGAAACCCTAAACCCCAAACCACCCTAAACCCTGAACCCTAAACCCCAAACCACCCTAAACCCTAAACCCTAAGCCCTAAACCCTAAACCCCAAGCCCCCTAAACCCCAAACCCCCCTAACCCCCCTAAACCCTCAAAGCCCCTAAAGGAGCCTGCGTCGCAGCCCCGGGGATGCCAAGGGAAGCTTGAGCCGAGGGAATTGAGGAAACAATCAGGATTGGGGTTTGGGGTTTAGGGTGTAGGGTTTAGGGTTGAGGGTTGAGGGTTGAGGGTGGTTTGCCCTTTAGGTTTAGGGTTTAGGGTTTAGGGTTTAGGGTTTAGGGTTTAGGGTTTAGGGTTTAGGGTTCAGGGTTGAGGGTTGAGGGTTGAGGGTTGAGGGTTGAGGGTTGAGGGTTGAGGGTGGTTTGCCCTTTAGGTTTAGGGTTTAGGGTTTAGGGCTTAGGGTTTAGGGTTCAGGGTTGAGGGTTGAGGGTTGAGGGTTGAGGGTTGAGGGTTGAGGGTTGAGGGTGGTTTGCCCTTTAGGTTTAGGGTTTAGGGTTTAGGGCTTAGGGTTTAGGGTTCAGGGTTGAGGGTTGAGGGTTGAGGGTTGAGGGTTGAGGGTTGAGGGTTGAGGGTGGTTTGCCCTTTAGGTTTAGGGTTTAGGGTTTAGGGTTTAGGGTTTAGGGTTCAGGGTTGAGGGTTGAGGGTTGAGGGTTGAGGGTTGAGGGTTGAGGGTTGAGGGCTGAGGGTTGAGGGTTGAGGGTTTTGAGCTTCATGGCTCGAGATTAGGGTTGCAGAACCCTCAACCCCAAACCCCAAGATGCCCAGGCGAGTTGGAGGCGCTCAATGGAGGGCTTAGGGCTTAGGGCTTAGGGCTTAGGGCTTAGGGCTTAGGGCTTAGGGCTTAGGGTTTAGGGTTTAGGGTTTAGGGTTTAGGGTTTAGGTATGGTTAGGGGAAAGCTCCCTAACTTGGAGCGCAGCTCAGGCTTTGAGGCTGGGCCGAGTATTGATTTGGAGCTTTGGTGTGTTTGTGTTCCGTAACACCCAATGCTTTAAATCAACCACCATCCTGGGCTGTGAGGTTGAAGCAGTGTGTGGTCCAAGGGCCAAGTGCGCAATAAGCTTAGCTGTGATACTTGCAGCATAGTTTATGATCACACGGGGGGAAGCACTGGATGTCCTACGCCGCAACCAGATCCCACCCCACGCTTGAAAAGCAGCAACTACAGTTACTTGGACACATCCTAGGTTTTGTCACTGAGCTTTTCTTGACATAGCCCGTACACGAATCGCGTTGCGCCACAACTGGGCGTAGGTAATTGCCTGTAGCTGGTGCATGGAGATCCTGAGCACTGCTCCTATCGCGCTGTACAAGGCCCATCTCCTTGTTTCCAGGCATGCTGGAAAAGGAGGACTGGGCCAATTGGCTCAGGCAAGACTCCTTTTAAGGGGTATACGGAGGGACCCATAGAAGGGACCCTTGTTCCTATTCCCCTCAAGAACCCCAATCTATTCCTTGCATAGTCCAAGAACGGTCCCTTAGAAGGGTCCCTCCTTCAGTCCCTGGGCTCCTTACACCCGGCGAGTGGACATGCCAGCAGCTTTCCATCCCATGACCCCACCCTCCAGAACGTAGGCATCAGCGAACTGGGAGCGCAGCGACTCCCACGCCAGCGCGCTCCTTGCTCTTTCACGGGTCTAAACATGCAAAAAAAAAAAAAGGAGTTCGGCTTGTCGCAAGCATGAAAGATGTCTGCGTTGGGAGAAAGGCCGTCAAGCCACTTGTTTCCGTGGAAACAGGTGAGGATCACCTTCTTGCCTCTCATCACCGGTGGGGGCAGTCGTCCCGCCCAGTCATCCAGGGGCACCAGCGTAGCGGCCTGCGGGGGCAAACATGCGGGGGCAAACATAGGCAAGCCCCCCCCACAATCCCGAGACATGCCGGGCCCTGAGTTTAGGGTTTAGGGTTCAGGGTTGAGACCCGAGGCTTGAGGGTTGAGGGCTTCGGGTGTAGGGATTAGGGTTTAGAGTTTAGGGTTTAGGGTTTAGGGCCTAGGGTTTTGGGGTTTAGGGTTCAGGGTTTAGAGAGCTTAGGGTTCAGGGTATCCAACCGCGGTGAACTTTCACGCATCATCTCTCCATAGCCCACGCGGCTGGATCGGGGCGTGAGGGTTGGTTGACACGTTGACATACACTAAGACTTGCTTTCTCAGACATTGCGCATTGGGCCCATGTCTACTTAGAATAAAACACTAAACCCTAAACCCTAAACCCTAGACCCCCGACACCCTACACCCTGAACCCTTAACCCTAAACCGTACACCCTACACCCGAAACCCACCAGGCTGACGACTCGCTGCTGCCTTCGGCAGCTCACCGCCCGTCTGTTCCAGGACCTGCTCTCGGGTGCGAACGTCGATAAGGACCGCTCCCTCCTCGCGTGCAGCTTGATGGCTGTGGCGTGCTACTTAAACCCTGAACCCCAAACCCCAAACCCCAAACCCCAAACCCTAAACCCTAAACCCTACTGCTACCTCTTGCTGCTTCTTCTAGTTCAGGGTGGAGAGGCGGTGCAAGGCAGTGGTTCATCGAAGGGCTCCGGTAGTGGTGTCTGATGCAGCTGGTTCAGTACAGCTTCAGACTTCCTCTTTGAAGCAGGCGAGAGCCACTTCTGGACGGCCGGCTGTTTCATGCTGTCGTTGCCCTTTCGCACAAAATCCCGAAATACAGCAGCCTCGTTACTTTCGGTGGCGGTGTCCAGCGCCGTCTGAAAGCTACTGCATGCCAATGCATCGCAAAACGCAACGCGATTTCAGGGGCTAGTCCCTTTCCTGGAAGAATCCCACACACATCCAGCTAATTCGTTGTATCTACGTGCCGGCGGCACACTAACATTTTCACTTCTGGCTTTTGCTGCACATACAGCCGTGATGCGGACACGGCCAAGCAACCCTTTTAGCGCTCTCTTCGGGGCAGCAGCACTCCGAAGGAGCTGCTGCCGACGAATCTGCTGAACGGTCTAGCCCCCAACGTACGGATGTAGGAATGAAAGATTTCATGTCACCATCTCTCCTGTTCTAAGTACCCCTGCTTGGGGCTGGGCCTCCCCAGAGCTGAGGTGTGTGCAAATTTGCGAGAAGACTAAATAGTTTGTAAGGGGAGCTTTGATTAGGGGGAGCGCAGCTCTTCAAGAGCGAAGCTGTGTTCCGCTGAGGCAGGTGGAGGGGCACTGGGTGGGGATGCGAATTTCCACGTGCCGGGCAGCTTCGTCTTCTGTGTCAAGCTTGCTCCATGATCATTGTTAGTACTACCTTCAGGATAAACCTGACAAGACCTTGAAGGTTGCTGACCGTCTCCTGAATCATCTTCTCAGCCGTTTTCGCGTCAACGAGTCGGTCACCCAGCTGTGGGAGCACCATCGCTACGCGAGCCTGGAGGCACATGCTCCGCAGCATGTGTTGATTATTCTCTCGCTTGTTTGTTTTTTGTTTTCTCTCTCTTTCTCTCCCTCTCTCTCTCTCTCTCTCTGTCTTCCTCTGTCTTTCTCTCCCTTGGTGAATAAAGCAAAGATGTAGCAGCAATTGTTTCACATGCAAGCTTGGTGTCATCTGCGTGTTCACCGGCCCGCCTTGAACTCGGGGCTGCCGGGTGTCAACTCTTCAGCAGTCGGCTTCACGTAGACCTTCAGCTCATGCTTCCCCACAACCACATCGGCTGCTGGAGTATCTCTGTGGCGCTCCAGGTATGCTTTGATGTCCTTCTTCTGAGCTTCGCTCAAGTCCCCGGCCAGCTGGGCATTGTACTGGATGGGGGCTGCTTCTGCAGCAGTGCCTTCTGCGCGAGCAAGCAAGGCCAGAGCAACCATGATGAATCGCCGGCTGTGACTTGGACTGTTGGGCTGCGCGACTTGCCGCGGCACAACGTGCTCGGGCTTGCTCCCGCAGACGAAGCCTTCCCGCATCAAAGCTGAAGCAGTCAAGGCAACAAGAAGCCCTCCAGCGCTAGAGCTGCCGCGTCGACGAACTGCCATGGCCTCTGCTGTTGACTGCTCTAAGGAACCACTGAGCCACAAGTCTTGATGTGCTTGGATGGCAAAGTCGGTGACAAAACTTGCCCGTCGCTGATGGTTCAGCAACATGGTGGAGTGCGTTTGCACATATGGAAGCCCAGTGCTCATCAGCCAAGTCTTCATTGTCTTGCAAATATTCTAACAACCACGCCGGAGGGCCTACTTTTGGGAGTCTTTTTCTCAGGCCAGGGGGAGGGCGTTTCTCTTTCGTTCCGGGGTTGTTTCCTTGGTTCTTCCAAGGAAAACCTGTTATTGTTTCCTTTGTGTTGTGAAAGGAAATCGTCCGTTTCTTTGGGTTTTCGCTAGGAGAAGCCGTAAAATGGGAAGGAAAAGAGGCTTCTTGGAGAAGCCGTCAAATAGGAAGGAGGAAAGGGAAGGAAGGAAAGGAAGGAAGCAAGGAAGCAAGGAAGCAAGGAAGCAAGGAAGCAAGGAAGCAAGGAAGCAAGGAAGCAAGGAAGCAAGGAAGCAAGGAAGCAAGGAAGCAAGGAAGCAAGGAAGCAAGGAAGCAAGGAAGGAAGCAAGGAAGCAAGGAAGCAAGGAAGCAAGGAAGCAAGGAAGCAAGGAAGCAAGGAAGCAAGGAAGCAAGGAAGCAAGGAAGCAAGGAAGCAAGGAAGCAAGGAAGCAAGGAGGCAAGGAAGCAAGGAAGCAAGGAAGCAAGGAAGAAAGGAAGCAAGGAAGCAAGGAAGAAACCAAGGAAGCAAGGAAGCAAGGAAGCAAGGAAGCAAGGAAGCAAGGAAGCAAGGAAGCAAGGAAGCAAGGAAGCAAGGAGGCAAGGAAGCAAGGAAGCAAGGAAGCAAGGAAGCAAGGAAGCAAGGAAGCAAGGAAGCAAGGAAGCAAGGAAGCAAGGAAGCAAGGAAGAAACCAAGGAAGCAAGGAAGCAAGGAAGCAAGGAAGCATGGAAGCCAGGAAGCATGGAAGCAAGGAAAGAAGGAAAGGAAGGGAAGGAAGAAAAGAAAAGGAAGGAAGGAAGGAAACAAGAAAGCAAAAACCAAAGGAAGGAAAGGAAAGGAAAGGAAAAATAAAAGGAAAAGGAAAAGGAAAAGGAAAGGAAAAATAAAAGGAAAAGGAAAAGGAAAAGGAAAGGAAGAAAAGGAAAAGGAAAAGGAAACGGAAAAGGAAAAGGAAAAAGAAAAGGAAAAGGAAAACGGAAAAGGAAAAGGAAAAGGAAAAAGAAAAGGAAAAGGAAAAGGAAAAGGAAAGGCAAGGAAGGAAAGGAAAGGAAAGAAAGGAAAGGAAAGGAAGCGAAGGAAAGAAGTGCTGGAAAGGAAGCCAAGGAAAGGAAGGAAGCAAGGAGGGATGATGCTGCCCAAAGTTGCTGGAGGGCAGGAGGGGCGAATCATAAAATGCGCAAAACACCAATGTCCGCTGGTGGAGTCCGGGGCGTTCTGTTTGAGCTGAATAACATCAGTTTGAAACGGAACGCCCCGACTCCGCATCTCCACATCATGAATCTCTCTGCACCGCTGGATTGTAGGTGCGGTTGTGCAACACATTCTTGTGATTTCGCAGCAGAAGTGCAGAAAGCACGAAAATCCATTGGCACCCTGCCCATCGGGACCTGAAGCACTCGACCTGGAAGCCAAGAATTCGCGCAACTGGCCATGTGTACGCGACGTCTCCTGTCCTCTGAGGTCTCTCCCTGTGGGGGTTCGAGGCCTTCCGAGGCCTTCCGAGGCCTTCACTGTGTTCGGCCAACAATACTATTAAGGTGAAGAACCCGAGCTCAGTAGAAACCCATTTTCTGCTCTAGCGGCAAAATGGAGATGCGAAGCACTCTCCCGCTATGTCTGCAGCCTCCGAGAAAAAACTGCGCAAGAAGCAGAACAGAGACCTCACAGTTGCAGAATGCATCAGAAAAGGTGTCAGGAAAAAACACAAAGACAACGCAAACCAAATTAAAAACTAGTTCTGCGCTCAAAAATTCAACAATGTGAGCATAACTGCCACTACTATTCATTCCATTCATTCCAAGCGCAGCCACAGTCCGTTTGCAGTCTAGTGGCAATGCTTGTCTATTGGCGCTGCCTTGTCCTTTGACGCACTTCATGCTTCCTTTGGAGGTTAAGAGTTCTGGCTTTTCAGTGTCCTTGTACAACTTGGGGCCGTAGGCCGGCCACCATGTGCTCAAGAAATTCAGTGGCATCATGTTGACGATGCACATCCTGCCAGGAAGCAAGGATGTGGATTTCCACGAGGGGAGAGCATGCACGTGCATAGGTTTGCGGGCATGTTGCACATCTCGCATGGCCTGTGGCTTGGCTCCAAAGTGCGGGCATTCCCAGACAGCCAGGCACGCTGGCCTTTAGGTTACACGTATTCGTGCTGTTCAGCAGCTTTGGTAGAAGAGTTCTTGTTGTAGCTTCTGTTCCCACTGCGGCGGGTGACTGTTCAAGGACTCTGAGCTGCAGCCCTATCAGCTGGGCTGCCGATCCAGATAGAGATTCGAGGCAGCGCCAAACCTGGCTCTGTCCTGTTCGAGATCTCCAACTGGAAGGTGGTGATGTTGGACATGTCTGCTGTGAGGGGCCGATGTGAGTGGAATCTGTGGATCATGTGTGGCCTCTGAAGAGCGTCACCAGTGTCTCCAAGTCTGTCAGCATCCTGATGGAGGGCGGCCCGACTCTCGTTCACGACCACAGCACTTGTGGACCACTTCTAGTGTACCCAGGTAGCTGTACCAGGTTGACTATGAGTGCCACGTAAGGGTCCTTCCATGTCTGCGCTGCTTTAAAGAGCATCTTGAGTGCTCCAGTTTCTCCTGGCTGAAGGAAAAGTACCCACGCTGTGTCTTGTTGCAGCACCTTGATGGCTGTCTCCTGCTGTAGGGACAGTTTTTCCGATCGATTCCGATACCTGAGTGTGCATTTTACATTACGCCGAGCCGCTGAGAAGGGTTTTGTCTGCACGCTCACCAGAAGCCAGTATTTCTGCGCCTGCATCAATTGCTATTGCCCGTCTGACGGCTCAAGCAGTAGAACGGGGGCGTGATGCGGGGCTGGGTAGGTTGGGCTTTGGCTTTTGTTCTTTTGCCTTTGGTCGGCCTGATGGTTTGCCTTAACTGTCTGCTCTGCTTCATGCACACCTGCCGTAGGTAGCTGTTGCCACGGAGGCTTACACACGTCAGAGTTACATTCTGCCAGTGGGCCCAAACTGCCGAACCATTCCGCGCGCCGGGCTGTTTTGGCGTAATCAGATGTCAAAACTGCTTTGGAACCCACCCGTGTCCAGAACTGAAATGATCGTTCGGCCTCCAGCTACAAAGTTGCAGAAACCCACCGCTCCTTCTGCTGGGCCAAGTGCACGGAAGGCTCTGAAGCCGGTGAGGCCTGACCTAAGTACATGAAGCAAGACAGTTTTAAGACAACAATTTTGCCGTGGCTCTTGTGAAGTCTTCACAGCGGCTCTACTCGCTGGCGCCGATCTTCACTTTCCAATCCTGCGCAAGAGACAGACGACGCTGACAGGCGTGTATTCTTAGAAGAAGGAATAGTACTTGAAGATGATGCCTAATTACTTGCAAGTTGCAAGAGATCTACGCACGTGACTACAAGGCCTTACCCGATCTTACCCAAAAGAAAACTGACAGCGACCTGTGTTCCAGACGCACCGCAATCCGAACCACAAAAGGACCCTCTACGCAGAACATCGCAGAACCTGGAGCTTCCGGTAAGGGGCATTAGAACTTGCGCGTAGCGTCGTAGCATTCGTTTGGCCGCGCACAGGCATCCAGGCGCGCAGACAGAAAGAAACGCACACAAATCAGAAGGCAGTCCGCAAACAATGCCTAGAAGGACATTGTTGCAAGTTCGGGCAAAGGCGCAGCCCGCCCGCTGCCGGGCCAATTCCGAGTTTGTCTTTCCGCACGGAGAACACGATTGCGTCAATGCGTGCAATGCTGGATGAACGCAGTTGCACGAGTGCGCTGGTCCTCATGAGGAAGATCCGAGCATGTGTGTGCATCACTGGGCAACGCCTGGAGAATGCCTGGAGAATACCTTGGCCAGATCTCGAACTTCGCGAGCGCTTCGCGACTGCGCTGTCTGCGCAGCTCTGTGCGTAGGTGCACGTGACAGAGAACGACTTGCTGGGCTTGTCCGTTGTTTTGTTCTCTTTCTGTTATCGGCTGCGAAAGCAATTTCGTGGCTCTTGGCTCTGGGGCCCTAGGCCCTCGGGCTGCATCGCAATACGCGCCGCCTCGGACTCGCGCGCTTTCCGTCATCGAGATCATGCTCCCAAGGCAATTCCGAATGAGTCGCCTGGAGCCTTCCACAAAACAAATCGCGGGCGCAAGGCTTCGAGGCTTTTTTCACCCATCCTTTCGAAAATGTGTGGCAGTGCCTGGTATTGGAACATGGCATGAGCAGGGCGGCGCTGGTCACTAAGTCCCGCGCAGTGACCGCAGCCTCTTTCTGCGCGAAAGATTGGTTCCGGCCGCGCCTGCGGCCTCAGCACCATGCTCCCAGCTGCCACCAGCGATGGAAATGTTCTCAGCCATGAAACACAGAGGGCTACATGCGCAGTCTTGGGGGCTTGGATTCACGCGACTCTGAACAAAAGTGTCATCCTTGCAAACAAGCTCATGCAGAATGTCAAAGCAGGGGCCGGGCCGTTGGGAAGCAAGAGTGGAGAGCCTGAACACTGCACCGTTGCAGCCTTTGGATTCCTGGCTAACTGGAGCCGCTATGAGCCGCTGAGCCAGCTCCGGGAGGAACAAGGTTGTTCGGCTTCAGGCCATGTCCTAAAAGCTTGCTCTTGTCTTGGCGGCTTGCTCCAAGGTTGAGGTTAATCACACCACCATAGTCATTCCACGCGCAAGGCTGCCGTTTTCTGTTCTCTCGCAGCAGCTAGCGGATCTGAGGCGTCGGACATCGTTTCCGTCTATGGCCGCCATGTCTCCTCGAAAGGCGCCGGTAGCCATCACCTCTCCCACGCTTTGCACGCCCGATCCGCAGGGCACCTTTGGCAACGTAGTCTAGTAGGCTCGAAGTGTGCAGCGCCGCAGTTGGTCCATCGTTCCGAAGCTGGAGCAAGTTCTGTCCAAGCGCCAGCTTGGCGGGACAGCATAAGCCAGCCGGATGTTGCATTCTCCAACGATCCAGAAGTGCCGCTGGAAAAGCTTCGGGGCAAACTGGCGAAGGCCAGCCCTCGGGATCTGGGCTCGACGATGTCCTCGGGGCTGATTCATCACGATTTGATGGTGGCACCCACCTTCCCCCCGAAGCCCTCTGAAACTCATTCTTACCCCGGTCCCCAGTTGGCGAACTCTAGCTTTTGTGAAGGGTTGGGGTGAATGGGCCCCTGTCGGGAGAGGTGTGGGGCCGTGAGTCGTTCCTGATCCAACAAAACACGGGGTCGCGACATACGCCGGGAGCGATGTCATGTTGACAGGGGCTGTTTCCCATTCCAACACCCAACAAGAAAACGCTTAGCCACGTGGCCTCCTGCAGATCCCAAAGGGACGACGTACATGGACTGAAGCTTCGCCCTGCTCCTTTGGCACGGCGATGTCACACAGCCTGGGCAAAAGAAACGCAAGCGCGCGCCCAGCACATTTGCCACCCGTCGTTCAGAGCACAACAAGACACGAGCGGCCGACTGTGCAAAAATCTCTGGCAGTGAACGCGTTGGCGCTTGCACCTGGGCACTGCACTTCAACTGCTGTAGTGGGGGAGCCTGTGGGACTATTGGTTCGATGGATAGGCACCCGTTCACATGTTCGTCGTGTTCTTCACTTTCGCTATGCAACGGCGACACGGAGAAAGAATCGTCTCCTGTTGAGCTCTGAAGGTGGTCTTGAGGCGAAGGCCTGCTTGCACTTCTTCGTGCACTTGACTGCTTTCGCCCTTACCCAGTTGAGCTCCGAACCTGCGAGAAACGCAAGACAAGTTGCCACACTTCGTTCTTGACACGCAAGGCCGAGCAAGGCCGAGAAAGGCCGAGAGCAGTGCTGAGGCTGCGGCTCTACGTGAGTCGCAATGAGCTTTTGCCTAACTCGGAAGTTGACGGTAGGATCCATTCCAAGATCCATTCCACAGAACAATTCTGCAATCTGGAGCGATGCAACCAAGGCGCCACAAGCTTTGTTGACAGCCCTCAATTCCTGCAACATCCAGCAGAGAGCAGGCTTCAGTTGTTTCCCCGGGCAAGTCAAAGCAATCGAGGCGCCCGGCCTTTAGCTTTACGGAGTTGCCAGCTGCTTCCAGGGGGCACCCCATCAGAACCTCAGTCAGGGTCTCGGGAGCTGCTGTGTGTTAAATCCAGTCGCTCGCAGTTGAGCTCACCAGATCCCTCCGGCAAGCAGGGACAGATCAAGCAGAAGCCTAGAAAGCACAAAGACGTTCTTCAAAAAATGCAAGCTGCGCGAGACATGTGCGAAGCTAATCGCAATGGTTGGCGACGAACTCCACAACAACAAAGAAAGCTGTCAGCGAATGACAGGAGCGCAAAACAGCAAAGGAGACCCAAGCCGTCAGGGCACCAGCTGAAACATGTTCGGAGACGTCAACACCATCCTCGGCACAGGATGGCGCCAATCCAAGATGTGACCTGCCTGCGCATGCATCTTGCTGCGAGATGAGACAACAAACTCGCCTAGGGGCCACACAATGTCTTTCACGACGGCGTCGATCTCGCTACTGCCTTTGGGTAGCTTTGACCTGCCGCCGCTGGAGTGTGTTGAACTGGACTGGGCTCTCCCAGGATGGCCTCTTCTGAAACTGCGTGGGCCCACGCAATCCTTTTGTCTCGGCTCCTGGGCAACGTAGAGAGCATTGCTCAAGGGCAGCGGCATTAAGAAAAAAACTCACAAAAACCCACGCGCTTCTTGTCAATCCAGGACCTCGTGATGTGAAGCAAAACAGAACATCCCGGACCCTCCCTTGGCCCTTTCTTGGTGACCCCTCAATCACCCCGCCCCTTTTGTACATGGCAAGTAAACAGGCAGTAAAATGGTAAGCCAAAATCTGCTAAAGTTCGAGCTTATGTGCGCGAGAAGTGCTGCACGCGACAATACGAAGTTGTTCATCGTGAGAAGTCACAGAAAAGATAAACAAGGACATGCCACAGTTCGCGGCCATGAGGAGTCTGCTTGAGGAAATGGTGTTTCAACCCATGCCTGCCAGCTCCATCAATGCGAAAGTTTTTTGGGAAAGCCTGCTTTTTGGCTTCGGCAAGCCTTTGCCCATGTCGCGCTAACCTGAAGCGAAGCAAAGGGTTTTAACATACACGAGAGTCCAGGTCATGTTGACAAGAGAGAAAAGACAAAGGGCGCGACAGACGCAGGAGGCCATGTCATGTCTCCTGAGAATCTGAGAAAGAAAATGAGCGAGACATCGACCGGGGAGCATGAGGGAACTAGGCCCCTTTCTACACCCTTGTATGGGTTCTAGGCTACCTCATTCCCTCATTCCCTACTAAGAACCAGCCGGTACGTGCAACAAAGGTAAGCTTGCAAAAATCTCTGGGCAGCCCAGAAACCACGTTATACTAAGGGTTCCCTTTTTTTGGGGTTGGTTACTTGATAAAGGGAACCTATAGAACCACAAGGCAACAAAAGGGCACCACCGGGCTACCAGGAATATACCGAAATATCATGGGTTCCCCTACTACCCCCAGATTCCCCCCCCCATATTGAAGGCTAATTTAAGGATAATTAAGCCTATTAAGGTTATTTAAGGGGAACCCAGGTGGGGGTAGTATAGAGGGGGGTAGGAATGTAGGGCTCCTATTCAGATCGACGCCGGCTCCCTTAGCTCGAACACCATCATTGCAGACAAGTCAGGCTGACCAGCTGGTGAATGACGCATATATATATATATATATGTATATATATATGTGTGTATATATATATGTATATGTATGTGTATATGTATATATATATATATATATATATATCAGAGACAACAAAACATACTCACACATGTTCAGTGAAGAAGCAGACACCCATGTAGACAAAAAAATGCAAGGGGTCACACATGTTCAATGAAGAAGCAGACACCCATGTAGACAAAAATGCAAGGGTGGGATAATACGAATGACAGGCATCGTAAGTCGCATGCCGATATGTATCCAACCAAAGGATTTTTCAGAGATATAGATGAAAAAAAAACATCTGCAGGTCAAAACCTAAACACGACGAGACCCAAAATGAATACATATGTATATATGTATATACATATATGTATATATACGCACATATATATATATGTATGTATATATGTATATATGCGTGTGCGTGCCTGTGTGTTTGTATTCTGTACATGTACTATGCGTCGCAAAAGAAGTGAACCGGCCCCGACTCCGAACTAGCCCGAACCTGCAACCCCCACACCCGCCTAGCATGTTTGCGAATCATCCCGAGGGCCCTCAACGTTTAGGGTTTAGGGTTAGGGTTTAGGGTTTAGGGTTTAGGGTTTAGGGTTTAGGGTTTAGGGTTTAGGGTTTAGGGTTTAGGGTTTAGGGTTTAGGGTGTAGGGGTTAGGGTGTAGGGTTTAGGGTTTAGGGTTTAGGGTTTAGGGTTTAGGGTTTAGGGTTTAGGGTTTAGGGTTTAGGGTTTAGGGTTTAGGGTTTAGGGTTTAGGGTTTAGGGTTTAGGGCTACAGACCCCGTATTTGGCGAACATACGTTGCACGATGGTCTTATACTGTGGCCAAGGCATATAATAGATCTCAACTCAAAATTATTGGGCAAAGTGAGAGCCCTCGGCCCGCAAACAGACGTGCAGACAAAAAGCAATGGGAAACTTGAATGCGCGTGTCTCGAAGTCACCGCCACAGAACTTGGCTGCTGCCATGGGTGCGTGGGTATACCCACAAATGGTGGCCTCCACGAGGCTTTGCAGGTTTTCAGGAGGATTAGTTGGGATTGTGGAGCTTGGGTCTGTTTGAAAAGTTTGATTTTTAGTTGACAGGGGCCTACTCTCGGTTGGCCTTTAAACCCTCTGAATGTTTTTCCTGGTTATGACCCTCTCGAACCACAAAAGGGGGAAACTTAAGACATCGCAAGGGCCTACCCAGTACTGTAGCTGAGCGGAGTCGAACCACGGACCTCACAATTGGGAAGAGCCAGGATTTAGGGGGTCATGGGGGTCATGGGTTTAGGGGTTTAGAGCGTCGGCGCCTGCCGCCGCCAGATGTTTTTTTCAAGCAAATTCCGACGGCTCGCAGCAGCCTCTCACTACAAACATCAACCCTAAACCCCAAACCCTAAACCCTAAACCCCAAACCCCAAACCCTAAACCCCAAACCCTATACCCTAAACCCCAAACCCTAAACCCCAAACCCTGAACCCCAAACCCTAAACCCTGAACCCCAAACCCTAAACCGCCCAGTTTCGAATCCGAAGCTAGCACGAAGGAAGGAGGCGCTCTCATCCTTCGGTTTCCCGAAGGGCTCCCCTGAAACAACACCTTACAAGCGCTAAACCCTAAACCCGAAACCCTAAACCCTAACCCTAAACCCTAACCCTAAACCCTAAACCCCTAAACCCCTAAACCCCTAAATCCCTAAACCCCTCAGCTATCAAGCAGTCCAGTCCCCAAGCCCTCTGCCGAACAAACAAACCTAAGCCAACAAAAAAAAAAATCGGGGGACAACGCCAAGCCCAACCGCCCAGGGTTTAGGGTTTAGGGTTTAGGGTTTAGGGTTTAGGGTTTAGGGTTTAGGGTTTAGGGTTTAGGGTTTAGGGTTTAGGGTTTAGGGTTTAGGGTTTAGGGTTTAGGGTTTAGGGTTTTCCGCGCAGCTCAGGGTTTAGGGTCTCGGGTTTGGGGTTTGGGGTTTAGGGGTTTAGGGGGTTGAGGGGTTTAGGGGGTTTAGGGGGTTTAGGGGGTTTAGGGGGTTTAGGGGGTTTAGGGGTTTTGGGGTTTAGGGCATTTACCCGACACCCACGAAAGCTTGAGCTCCAACCCGAAGCCCTCGACCAACCTGGTGACCAGACTGAAGATCAAATTCCTGCAGGGTGAAGTTCCAGTAATCCTGAGCAAGGGTTAGGTTTCAGGGTTTAACTAGAGTGTAGGGGCTTCGGGTTTCGGAGCTTCTGGGATTATAGTCATGACCGTATTTAGGGTACTCATCTTTACAGCACCCATACTTAAAAAGTACTCGTGAACCTTCAAGTATCTCTATCAACCACCCTAAGGGTCCACATACCTATATAGTATATATTGGGCCCGAAAGCTACTATATAGGAACCCCTTTAAGGCCCAAGTATGTACTACATAGGTACATGGACCCTTATGAAAGCATAGAGCGCGGGTTGCGGGCATTGGCCCTTCAGCTGTGATGTGAGCGAGCTCACGGGGGTTTAGAGTTCAGGGAGTTTTGGGCATTACGGGGAGGTGGTTTAGGGTTTATGGGGTTTAGGGCTCATAGGGTTTAGAGTTCAGGGAGTTGAGGGGTCTAAGGTTTAGAGGGTTTAGGGCTAAGGGTTTCGACTCTCGCAACTAGCCAGGGTCTAGGGCTAGGGGGAACCTACTCATACTCATCTGATGGGCGTTTCCATTCGGAACCCTAAACCCTAAACCCTAAACCCTAAACCCTAAACCCTGAACCCTAAACCCTAAACCCTAAACCTGTGGACCAAGGGCGTCTTGGTCGAAGGTTCACAGGATCCTCCGGTTGGGGGGGAAGTATGTTGGGATGCTCCCCCCGAAAACTAACAGCTTCTTTATAGGGATTGTAGTACCCCCAAATACCCTAAACCCAAAACCCTAATCCCTAAACACTAGTCCCTACCAAGGACTGTTCGTTTAAGGGGCGACATCCCAAGAAGCATGGAAGGCGTGGTGTCCCCACGAAAGTCGCAACAAAAAAAGAGATTGAACCTAATCTGGGTTTCGGTTTTTTTGGCTTTAGGCTTGAAGGTCCCCAAAAGCCCTAAGGCCTAGCCCTAATCCCTAGCCCGAAACCCTAAACCCCAAACCCTACAACCCCGAAAGGTGGAACCCTTCCTTCGTGAACCCTTAAATGAGCAGAGCGGCGGTCACAGAGAGCGAACATTCCTCGGGTGAAATGGGCATGTAGGCTCTGAGCAACCTCTACTTGCAGGTTTAGGGTTGAGGGTTTGGGGGGGGGTTAGGGTTTACGGTGTAGGATTTAGGGTTCCGCCTCCCAAAGCGACACCAGACCTTGACTAGGTCACCTAGTAGGACAGACAGGAATCCTCGAAGGCCCTTACGAAACCACTATGGGGTTTAGGGTTTAGGGTTTAGGGTTTAGGGTTTAGGGTTTAGGGTTCCAAGATGCACCTAGATCTCCACTAGCCCAGGGAGAAAAAGTTAAACTTCAAAGGTATTCCTTCTAAATAAGGCAACCCAAACAGCTTACAGTCCAACTATTGGCTAAGTAAGTCTACCCTCCATCCATGTCTTCAGACACCCAACGCCCACCCTCAACTCGAAACCCTTTGCGAGCACTGCCTCGAACACCCTTAGGCCTGTAAATACTTTAGGATCCAAGGACAGTACTTTAAGCGAGTAGAAGCCAGTGCTGGGACCGTTCTCTGTGTCTTCCCTTTTGGAGTGCCCTGAAAAAAGGGCCCCCCGCATTGCACCAGGCACCCAAACAGCGGATCACTGGAGCGTCCCATGTCGACTTTACGACAAATGGTTCAGCTCAGGACTGGCTGCACTCAGGAGGGTAGCTATAAATTAAACTTTTAGCTGCCTTAATAAGAAACCCAATAAACCCAAAAAAGGTAAGGATCTAAAGTTACAGTAAAGTACCACAAAGTCAGGACTGGCTGGGATGGACTCCCGAAGGCTCTTGACCCTCACCCCCATACTAGGCTGCCCAGTAACCAAGGCTTAAAAAGGGTGCACTTTTTTTTGCTTAAAGGGGTTTGTAAGGGAACCTAAACCCCCCAAAAAGGGAATAAGGGTACTACTGGGCATCCTAGCATAGATCCAGCAAATCAATGCCAGTGGGTGGCTTTTGGCAGGAGGAAGACGATGCCCATCCTTGGCATAACGTGATAACGTGTGCATTACAAACCCTAAACACTAAACCCTAAACCCATAACGTGCGCATTACACAGACGTGCTCCCATCCCCGCCCCTGCAGCCCCTGCAGACGGAAAAGAACCAAAGCCATGCACGCTTGCAGCTGCACAATTACCCCAAACGCGCCAAGGCCTCTGCTCTTAGAAACACACCTCAAACAACCTGTGTCCTCGAGCTTGTAATGAATTCTAGGGCTTCAGGCTGAAGGCAATCGCTCACGGATGCCTTGAGGCCTTGTGGCGCATGGGATTTAGGGCTTGTCGGTTTAGGCGAAACGGCTAGACTCAACTTGGAGGTTCATGGGTACTTATAACACCAAGTAGAAGCCTGCTTCTAACCTAGGCTTATAGGTACAGTTATAATTGGGGCTATAACTACCCTGAACCTCCAAGAAGGCTTCCAGCTTAGGAATGCAAGCATGGAGCATCGGCATCTCGTTCCCGAGGTTTCTGGCCTGCCAGGCAGCTTGCCTGGGCCGCTGTGGCTGGCTTACCGAGAATTTAGAATCAAACAAGCTGCTATTCGGTTCGCCTTTTGCGGACACACCATTCCGCAGGAATGTCTGCGGGTCCAGACCCCACAAAAAGACAGCTTACTGATAGTCCCTCGGGTTAGATCTTGGTAGCCCAGTAAGCATCTGATAAGGGCACCCTTTCGGGATTGGTTCATTACTTGATAAGGGGACCTTGAGCACCAAACTAAGGGCAACAGGGGAGCTTTCACAAAACCCAATTCATAAGGCAGGTAAACGCGAGGTCTGGGCAGTTTGTGGCTTGGTGGAAACCGCCTTCCCATGCGTAAATGTAAAGTTGGCGGGGTTGCTCGAAATTCGGAGGTCTCTATTGTAGCAGCTTAGCACACCCATGGTTCTGAATCAGGCATACTTGTCGGCTCGGGTGCACGAGTTCGGCCGCGTGGTGAACGTTGAGCTCGCATCTCTGCTTCCGCTGTGTGCACCTGTGCTTCATCTTATGCCGGGGTTCAGGGTTCAAGGGTTTAGGAAGGGTATCTGGGAGGCATGGCGCCCGGGCCAAGAATCATTCAAATGGTTCTTTGCGGCGGCGAACAGTTGCCCGTGCCTTAAAATTCACATAGAGGCCTCGTGGGCATTGTCCCTATCTTGCCCAAAGTTCCACAAGCAGCACCTTGCTGCGGGAGCGTAGCACACTAGCTTAGATGTGTGTCTCCTAAACTCCTCCTCACAGGGTCAGGAAACAAGGTCTAAGCTTGCAGCACACTTCAGTCCAAACGCACAACTTGCTGCAGACTTTTCCAATGTACCCCTCAACCCCAAAAACCTCAAATTTCGAAGCCTGTCTCCTCAACCCTCATTGAGTGGGATTTCAGAGCCGGTTGCCAACACCAGGACAGGGTTTTCCAGGTTCAGGGCTTCGGGTTGGGGGATTTTGGCTTTGGGGCTTGAGAGGTTTGGGGCCTCGGCGGCCTGAGCCGGAGGCTCCTAAATCTTAAGGTTCCCCGACCTAAACCACAAACCCAATGGCTTGATGTCACTGTGTAAGCTGAGCTGCGCGAAGTCCGATTTCAAGACGCGCCTCGGCAGAATGAAAAGGCTTCAAGGTTTAGGATTGCGCGGCTTAATTCTGCTCATCATGAGACCTGCCGTTTGGAGCCTGGCACTAAGTCTGCGATGAAATGCAGAAAGGACACATAGACTCCTAGGCCCTACACGTGCATAATTCTCTTCGTACGAGTTTCGCATAGGGAATTATCTATCACCAGGCTTGAGGGATTGCAGTGCCGCTTTCAAACCTCACAAGGGGTGAGGGTGTTTCAAAGACCCCCGGGCAAGAAGTGATGACACTCTGCGAACCCGTCCGCACCCTTTGTGTAGCGTTAGGGCTCAACCCAAGACCTGAAAGCAGGGCTATAAGTCAACTAAATATGGCTCTAACCACCGGTACCCCATATACTTACAACCCTACTCACAAGTACCCTGACGAACCTCCAAGTACCCCAGACTCCTCCCATCCCGCGGTGCCCCGCCCTCTTTAGGGCCCAGCTACTCCCCAAGGCACGTGGAGGTTGATTAGGGTACCTATAAATAGGTAGGGTTATAAAGAAGGGGCAACTATGGTTATAACCTTTTTAAGGGATAAATAGGTAGGGTTATAAAAGAAGGGGCAACTATGGTTATAACCTTTTTAAGGGCACCCTAAACCCCTAAACACCCTAAACCCTACACCTCCTCTACCCCTAAACCCCCTAAACCCGACCTCCCACAAGTACTCATGAACCTTCAAGTCTTCCATCCAAGGATCCCATGCTCTGAGAGCAGAAAGGGCACGGCGCTGACTTCGTCGACATGCCTGCGGAAGCCAAAGGCAAAGGCCAGACAACCCCCTAAACCCGAAGCCACGGTTTAGGGTTTAGGGTTTAGGGTCTAGGGTCTAGGGTTTAGGGTTTAGGGTTTAGGGTTTAGGTTTTAGGGTTTAGGGTTTAGGATTTAGGGGGGGTAGGGTACCCGGTCTGAGAGCCATGCTGGTACCTGCCCGCAAGGAAAGCACTCGGCCACCCCGATGTCGCCCGGACAACCCCTAAACCCTAAACTCGAAGCCCTCAGCGCTAAACCCTAAACCCTAGCCCTCAGCCCAAACCCGAAACCCTGAACCGCCAAATCGAGGTTTTTCAGGAAGTTGAAGGTTTCGGGTTTTTCAGTGCCCCCTTTTCCAGGGGCTTATACGCACATAATTCCGTGCTTCTTTGAAATTTACCCCTAAACCCTAAACCCTAAACCTAAACCCTAAACCCTAAACCCTAAACCCTAAGCCCTAAACCCAAAACCCTAAACCCACCGAACCACCCTGGGCAAGATGCATTTCGGACACCAGCTGCAGGGTGAGCAGGAAGGGCTCTGCTCCCTCACTGTCCTGGCTTGAACGTCGGCTGAGAGATTTGGGGCTTTATGATCAAAGGGTTTAGGGTTTAGGGTTTAGGGTTTAGGGTTTAGGGTTTAGGGTTTAGGGTTCAGGGTTTAGGGTTTAGGGTTTCGGGGGTTTGGGTTTAGGGATTGGGGTTTAGGGTTTAGGAGCTAGATCCCCAATAGTACGATTCCCCTATAACGAGGACAAGAAGGTACACCTTATGTCGGAAACCCCGATTTGGAGTCGAGCCCCACTCTCCTTCAAACCCCTATCAGCCCTTGAGGCACCATCAAAAGCTTCATCCTCAGGGGATCCGAATAGAGATCCTAGCTTCGAATTGTCAGAGGGCCCTAACCCTACATTTAGGGTTTCAGAACCCCAAAACCCCATATAGCATTCTGGTTTCTTGAAAACGATAAAAATAGGCCTCACGAAAATGGGGGACCCCAAAAAAACCAAATGGTATAATAGGATCCCCTTAGAATACGGAAGCCGAATAGCGTACCCCGAATATCGTAATGTTGTATCCTGATTAGTGTGCACCCCGTCAATAATGAAAAGTTTTCAAGAAATAATTCAGGGGGCAAAGATTCGGCTGCCCCCCCCCCACTATCATGAAAAGTTTTTCGGGCATGGGTTTCGGAAGAGAGAAAAAAGCTTACCTGAGCTGAGCTCATCTGAGCTTACCTGAGCTAACCCTTGAGGCCTGAGGTTGTCGGGCCCTGAAAACTTCAGTCTCCAGGCCAGCCCCAAAACTAAGTTTTCCTTACAAAATGTTTTTGTACCGAGGCCGGGCAATCAAATTTCCAAGGGGGTAGTCCAGCAGCTGCCCGAATGCCGTATAATATAAAAAGTTTGCTCCCCCGGAATTATTTGTTTTTGCGGGCTAGTTGGGTTTGGATCCAGAGGCCTAAGGGCTGAGGCTTCCTAAACCTTGAGGCCTGAGGTTGTCGGGCCCTGAAATCTTAAGCCTCCAGGCCAGCCCCAAAGCTAAGATTTCCTTATAAAATGATTTGCACCGAGGCCGGGCAATCAAATTTCAAAGGGGGTAGTCCAGCAGTTGCCCGAATGCCGTATAATACAAAACGTTTGCTCCCCCGGAATTATTATCTTTTTTTGCGGGCTGGCTTGGTTGGGATAGATGGATCCCCTTTAAATTCATATGCAGACAACATTACCTAAGAGGAAGAGGAGAGGAAGAGGAGAGGGAAGAGGAGCCAAGAGGAAATGAAGAGGATCCCGGCCCGGGGGGCGGGGGGGGGGGGGGGCCCGGGGCCGAAAATTAGTTTGGGGGGTACCGTTTTTTTTGCTACTACAGTATTGCGGGGGCGGAATTGGTTGGGGGGGGGGGGGGGCCACACACTAATCAGGAAACCACATTAACCCCCCATGCAGAGTATTTACATACTGCTTCTTAGTCGGGAGTTCGGGATTTGGAGCTGTTTTTTGTGCTCACCCTAAACCCTAATCCCGTAATCCCCACTTGCCCGCAACGAGCGCAAGACCCTTACACTCTCCGTGAGACTGAATGGATGGAAGTTCAAGTACGTGTTGGGTTGCTTGAAGTTTCATGGGGTACTAAAAAGCCCAGGGTTCATTATAAGTAGGGTGATTTTTGGCTTTTCCCTTTTTAGGGCACTTGTAACCCTACTTATAAGTACCCATGGACCTGGACAAAACCACTTGCAACCTAGCGCCAGTGCCTCAAGGCCCAGGAGAAAAAGGTCTTCGGATTTAGGGTTAGGGGTTTAGCCACGCCCGCGCCTAGACGAGAGCGCGACCTTCGTGCAAAAGCGAGCAAGCACCGACCTAGTCCCTCTTACCCTGGACGCTACTGGGAGGTTCAGGGTACTTGTAACCCGAATTATGACTGTGCTTATAAGCTCAACAAAGCCCCTCAAGTACTTAGAGTTGTAAGTAGACTTAGAATTCGGGCGATAAGTCCCCATGAACCATCAAGTAGAACCCTCGAGTTGACACACCGTTTGGGGCATCGCCCTTTTCCTCAACTTATTGAGTGCCAACAACTCCATAATTGCAACTCTGAGACCTAAACGCTGAATCCCAGAATCCCTGTACCCACAGAAAAGGCCTGTCCTGAAACGGCTGCATGGAGGTACAGTTTCCTCGAGCTCCCAATTGATTCGAGGTAGAAAGCTTTGTGCCCCTTATTTAGGAGAAGGCCTGAATTCGTACTACATATGCTGCTCCGCGCCTTAACCAAAAAAGAGAACCACAACTGGAAGGTCAGCGTTGCTCAGGCTGGCTCGCGGTAGATTTGAATGGCATGCTCATGCTTCGAGACGGCTTGGCGGCTGATATGCAAAATAAGTAAACCTAAGTGTTCTCCAGAGTTCTGTGGTTGAGGAGTGAGAGTTGTAGTTCAGGTTGTGGGGTTCATATGTTGCGCATGCATTCTGCTATACGTTGTGCTGTTGAGGGTAGAATCCTTTGGGTCCAAGGAACCCTAAACCCTAAACCTTGAACCCTAAATCCTTTTGAACCCAGACTTGCTAAACCCTAAACCCTAAACCCCAAACCCTAACCCCCTAACCCCCCCCCCCCCCCCCCCCGCCCAGCTCATTTTCGTCCACCGAATCAGAACTTAAACCGAAAGTACCCGGGGCTTGGCCCTGTTTTAGGATTTTGGGGTTTTAAGTAAGTTTCTAGGGTAGGGCGGGGAGGGGTCCTAAACCCTAAACCCAGCACCCCTTCTCCAGGCCGCGGCGCTTTGGCCAATGACATCCAAGGGATTGTTCCAGGACTTTTGTGACCTGTTCCTGGGGTGGTTGGGGTTCAGGGGTTTAGGGTGTTGGGGTTTGCGTTTCCTGCATGTTTGGGGTTAGGGTTGCAGGGTGTTTGAGGGTGTTTGGTAGGGTCGCAGGGTTTGAAAGTTTAGGTGCCTTGGGAAGTTTAGGGTTTACTGCAGACAGAGTGGAAAGGGAAGGTGGGAGGGATGAAGAGCCCCATACGCAAACACAGTTATCGATCTCAGCGTGTGGTCTTTCCGCGAAGTTCCCGGGCAAGTGGTGTTTAGGGTTGGAGGGTTTAGGTGTCTTGGGGTGCCAGGGTGCCTTCTGGTTTGTCTTGTTTTGGCTTTGGGGTGTTGCTTTTGTTGGGGGAACTCCTATCTTTGTGCGGACTCTAGTACCCAATCCTAAACCCTAAACCCTAAACCCTAAACCCCAATGAAGGACTCTGCCTGAAATATCTTCTAAGAGATATTCAAATCGAGAACCCCTGCTACTAGTTTCAGGTAAAGGCTTTTTGTTGGGGCCCTCTCGGGTCACGTCTTCTCTTAGACCTCAGGTACCTGTGACTGGCTTCTTATGCCTTTGGAGGTCAGGGTTTAGGGTTTAGGATTTAGGGTTTAGGGTTTAGGGTTTAGGGTTTAGGGTTTAGGGTTTAGGGTTTATTAGGATTTAGGGTTTAGGGCTTAGGGCTTAGGGTTTAGGGTTTAGGGTTCACATGCCCCTAACTCCAGAAGGTGACACAAGCTTCCTGTGAAGGGACCCTCATTCGAACAACCCGACTTTTCAGCCACACACAATAGCAAATCACCCACGCCTGAAACCTACAACCCTACACCCTGAACCCCCTACAAGCTTGAACACTAAAAGCCCCACAACGCGACAAAAGCCTACAAACACCCTGCAAGCAATAAACCCAACAAGCCTCCTATCATGCCTATATAAAACCCCTGCAATCCCGTAAACGCCTTTTAAGGCCCAACAGCGATTCGTGCCCCGTCTTCCAGGGTTTAGGGTGCTAAGGGTCGGTTTAGGTGTTTTTTTTTTTAGGGTTTAGGGTTTAGGGTTTAGGGTTTAGGAGACTTAGGGCTTCTAGCCACCCGCCGAGCAGATCAGCCAGGGTTCGGAGCATATACTTGGAAGGTTCATGGGTACTTTTTACCCCAAGTAGAACCCTAAACCCTAAACCCTAAACCCTAAACCCTAAACCCATGAACCTCCAAGTAGGGCTTGGTGTGCAAGACGCAGAGAACAACTCCCCAAGCTTCGTCAAATTCGTCGGGGCAGCTCTGGCCAGACTGTGGAACCATCTAAGGCGACAAAGCCGCCCTAACCTGAATCCGCTTACTACTAGTTGCTTAAGAACCCCGAAAGAATAAAAATAGTCTTCCTTATTAAGGGGTAATATCGGGAATACGATTTTTTCTTTTTTCTTCTTTTGGGGTTCTTACGCAAACAGTAGTTTAGGGTCTAAGCCTAAACGCCCCTAAAGACCTCTAGACCCCAACCCTTCAGAAGCCTTAAACCCCAAAGCCTCGTCCCCCACCCCAAGCCCTAAACCCTGAGCCCTTCTGAAAGACCCAGGCGGCTGGAGGGAATAGTTTCGGAAGTAGTCCAGTGGAAGCTCGAAGGCCGTGGTCTTCTTCCAGCCCATAAAGCAGACCTCCGACACTCCGAGAACAGCCGCGAAGAAAACCCTAAACCCTAAGCCCTAAACCCTACACCCTACACCCTAAACCCTAAACCCTAAACCCTAACCCCTAAACCCTAAACCCTAAACCCCAACCAAAAGACACTGACCCAAAATCCTCAACCACACACCACGATGTGGGGTCAGGCCGGGGGGGGGGGGGGGAAAAGTAAGTACAGGCTTAAAAAAAGGTTTAAACAGAAAGTTGGCACAAAGTACAGGTTAGAACAAAAAACTGTTGTCACATAGTCCGGAACAGTCCAACCCTCGGTGGGGGGGGGGGGGACGGCATAAGGATTTCATTATCTTTCAGGCCCTATATCAGCCCAGAAGCCTGTAGGAATACAAAGGGTGCCCGTTTTGGTTTCACGGGACTTGGTTTAGGGTTTAGGGTTTAGGGTTTAGGGTTTAGGGTTTAGGGTTTAGGGTTTAGGGTTTAGGGTTTAGGGTTTAGGGTTTAGGTCGACCCGCAGTACCCAATTGTACCAAGCGCCTCCCTTCTGTATACGGGGTCTACATGCTGGTATTCCTATCTGTGCGTTGCGGGTCCAGGTTTAGGGGGTTTTAACAATGTACAGGGACTTGAAGAATCTCAACATTCACGCTGCCGAGGCGTTCGCAATTCAGATTTCACTCGCTAATGAAGACACGTTTTGCCGGCATGCCAGATTGTCGCTAAACTAGAGAATAGTCAAACGCCCAACCCTAAACCCTAAACTCCAAACCCTAAACCCTAAACCCAAGTGTTGACAAACAACCAGGATCAGAAGTACAAAACGTCAGAGATTCAGTGTTTCTATAAAGTTACAGCAGGTAGGGTACCCAGACCCCTTGGGGGCATTCAAAAAGTAGAACCCCCAAATGGTACCCTATCCTACTATCGGGTGAGTCTTATAGGAACCCTTAAAGGGACCTAATTTCAGGATCCTCCCCGGGATCTGGCCACCCTAAACCCTTAACCCTAAGCCCTAAACCTTTTTGCCACTAAGCCTTGCCACTAAGCCCGAAACCCTAAACCGGGTTGACAGGGCTGATGGCTTCTACTCTCAGCAGCGGAAACTGCAACTGCGGGAACACCCCCAAAAAACACAAGCCTAAAGGCACACCAGGGTTTAGGGTTTGGGGTTTGGGGTTTGGGGTTCACGGTAACCCTAAACCCTAAACCCTAAACCCTGAACCCTGAACCCTGAACCCTGAACCCTGAACCCTAAACCCTAAACCCTAAACCCTAAACCCTGAACCCTAAACCCTAAACCCTAAACCCTCAACCCTCAACCCTAAACCCTAAACCCTAAACCCTAAACCCTAAACCCTAAACCCTAAACCCTAAACCCTAAACTCGAACGACGCCACCTCCGACTCATGCTCAAACTGGCACGCGGTCTCCGTTGGTGCCACCTGACCCATGGGATGCCAGGACCCCTCTGCGGGAGTATCTAACCAGCACTCAGTGCTCCAGTTGCCCTCGGACCAAGCAACTCCTACCCGAAGGTAAACACAACTCACATGCCTGCTAAGGATTCCGGTTTAGGGTTTAGGGTTTAGGGTTTAGGGTTTAGGGTTTAGGGTTAGGGTTATTCCGAGTTGGGATCTACACCATGGTCCCCTGACACACCTCACCCCCTGCCCCAGGTCCCTGTGCACGCAGAGACTACGTGCTGCGCCGACCGACCAAGTCAAAGTACACAACTAGGCCCCACTACCTTGAGTCCACAGCACCCCTAAACCCTAAACCCTAAACCCTAAACCCTAAACCCTAAACCCTAAACCCTAAACCCTAAACCCTAAACCCTAAACCCCTAAACCCTAAACCCTAAACCCCAAACCCAACCCAAAACACTAGACCCGGAACCGAGCAATGGGGGCTGTGCCTTCTTCAGCATGAACCGTTCTTGCCCCGAAGGTACGGCCTGCCGCATCATTGAGTAACTTACTTCTCCAATATCCAAGCGAAGAAAAGGTTAAACTTTATTGCTACTACTACTATTATGAGTATTATTATTGTTATTGTTATTATGTTTATGATTATGATGATCGTTGTATGATTATTATGATCAGTATTATGAGTATTTTTTTAATGATTGTTATGATTTTGTGTACAGAAAAAAAGGAGACCCCAAAGTTAAAGTTCAACTGTTGGCTGGTAAGGTAATGAGCAAGAGATTTAGGGTTTAGAGTATAGCCTTTATTCCCGAACGTCCCCCCGAATCGAAAACCCAAACCGCGCCCACCCAGGTCGCGAGAAGCCAGCCGAACTCCATCAAAGCGACGGATCTCAAACAATCCAAGCACCCGACGGGGCCCAAGCAAGATGGACCAAGCCAAGACAACCCAGAAAAAACGAATTTCCTAACCCGCCCGCCACCACTCTCACCTCTGTTGGGATACTGTAGGGGGGCGCCGCTTTCGGCCTAAACCCCCTGGCCGGAGACCTTGAAAGTGAGATCCATAAGCAAGCTTGGAATTTGGATGTGATTCTAGAACCTGATTTTCGATGAGAAGGCCCTTCCTCCGCATGTCTTCCTACAGCGTTCAACACCCTGGTCCCCTAAACCAGGAGCCTTCGTCTGTAGCGTAAGCGCCTGGACTCTCAACCTCCTACGCTCTACCCAGACCCCTTGAAGGATCCAAAAAGTAGAATCCCAAAATAGTACACTATACTATTGGCCTTAGAGGGATCTACTTTTTGGATCCTCGCAGGGGTCTGGGTAGACGGTAAACCCCTAAACGCTGCACCCTTCAACCCTGAATTTCTACGCGCAAAAACTACACCCGTTGAGACCCTGAAAGCTCTCCGGTCGTTCCCTCAGCAAGACTCATGGAGAGCAAGCTTAGGGTGTAGAATTTCGGGTTTAGGGTTCCGGGCTTACATGGCCATTCTCTAAATGGATGGATCCGCCCTCGGCCTTGGGATCTGACAGGGGGCCGCGGTGTTACCCTAAACCCTCAACCCTTAACCATAAACCGCGGGGTTGAGTTTGTTTTTGTTGTTTGCCTCCCGGGCTGAGGGTTTGCAAAGGGTTGAGGGTTAAGGGTTTGGGGTTGAGGGTTTAGGGCTACTTGGAGGTATGAGACTCTGCTATTCCACAGAGACTGGAGACTGAGGAGGAACGCAAACAGAACACGTCTCAACTAGTCACTTCTTAGGGGTTGATGGCTTAGGGATTAAGGCTTCTTGTGCACTACTTATACTCCTTTCCCCAGTGGCGTAGGAGCAAGAATGATACAAACTTCTGGCTTAGGTTTATGAGGGGTCCGAACCCCCCCAAGAATGGAACAAGGCTAGTACTAGAGAGCCCCGGCCCAGCCTAGCAATCCTAAACCCTAAACCCTAAACCCTAAACCCTAAACCCTAAACCCTAAACCCTAAACCCTAAACCCTAAACCCTAAACCCTAAACGGGAGGGGTGCAATGTCGCGACCTCGGCCGAAGTGATTGAACAGTCGAGATCCTCGGACGTGAAGAAGATGGTGAGGGCATCGGCCTGCTTTAGGGGCGATAAACCTAATCAAAACCCTAAACCCTGAACCCTAAACCCTAAACCCCACACCTACATACCCAAAGCAGCTCCATCCGTCCCGTGTGGGTCTAAAGAACCTGGGCTACAGGGTTTGCTGCAGGGTGGCATCATGGCAAAATTAGCCGCCTGCCAAGTGGCAATAGCGTCCATCACAGATCGTACTAGGTTGATTTTGTTTGACAGTTAGTCGGGGTGGCGGGTTCAGAGCTTTTTTGGGGTGAGCCCCTGAACTCCTAAACCCGAAGCCCGAAACCCTGCAGCTATTCAACCTTCCCAAACCCCAACTACTAAACACTCAAACCTCTGATGTCAGCGCCTATTTCTCAGGGCGTTGGCAAGCCGCAAGGCACCTACGCACCTAAGGGGCCCCGAATATAGACCCCCCAAATGGTAGGGCTTCCCTTATAATTAACTTATAATTAACTAATAACTAACTTATAACTAACTTATAATTAACTTATAATTAACTTATAATTAATAAGGCCCCCAATATTGTACCCCCTAATTTCGGAGACCATTACATGGGCCTTGAAGAAGGCGCTGGAGTCGAAGACCCATATCGGCCACGGCTTCACAACCCATCCGCCTTGCGTTTCCGGCCCATCAGTGCACAGCAGCGATCGGTTTCTAAGGCCCTGCAGACCCTCTGATAAAACGTTTCAAAGATGGCCCTCTTACCGGTTTAGGGTTTGGGAGTTAGGATTTAGGGTTTTAGGGCTCCTATAAATCCAAGACGAGGAAATTGAAATACTCTAAGGGCTTACACAGGCTTAGGGTTTAGGGAGCGCTTTGCTGCCCGCATGGCTGACACCATCGCGTTAGGGTTTAGGGTTGAGGGTTTAGGGTTTAAGGTCTAGGGTTCAGGGTTTAGGGCGAGGTTGTGCAAGTCAAAATACAGAGGTAGATGGGCAGCCAGGAAACAAACGCTCAGCACACCGCTGCCTTGTCTACCACAGAATCAGAAATGAGAAAGCCGGAGCCGTTTGCCATGAAAGTCACAACAGCCAACAACCTTATGCAGTCTGGTCTCTTGGCCCAAAAATCCTGAGCATCACAGTCCTTAAAGCCTTAGGGTCTGTGGGGCTCACAGCCCGAAACCTGAAATCCAATTGCTCGCAGAGCCACGAACGCTGCGCGGCTGCAGCTTGTAGCCGTGCGACTCGATCTGGACAGACAGGGTGTGAGTCGTATAGGGGGGAGGACAGGGTCCCAAAAGTGAGGGTCCCCCTTGGTGGTCCTTCTTAAGGAGGGTCGCTATCTGTACTTGAGGGTAAAGCAACGGGACCCGGATTTTGGGAAACTTCATATACATGATGCTATCGGGGCCTCTCCATTAGAATACTTAGGTGCTTTTGGATTTCTATTGGTACAATTTAGGGACGATAGGGGGCGAATACTGGTTTCTTGACTTGAGAGCAGGGGGCCCCGAAGTTTGCACGCGGCCGGTGTATTTTTCCTGGCTGGCATGCAGCTGCCAACCGAGGATTCGGACTTTTCGGGGATATGCACCTTCTACTCAGGCGCAAGCCCTGAACCCTAGACCCTAACCCTAACCCTACCCTCCCACCCGCTCCGTGAGCTTGAGTCCCAAAGATGTCAGGCCAAAGGTCCCCCCGAGCCCCGACAGCCGGCGTTCTCAGCACAATAAGCTCCCCACCTACCCTCCCCTCAACCATAAAACCCTAAACCCTAAACCCTAAACCCTAAACCCTAAACCCTAAACCTAAACCCTAAACCCTAAACCCTAAACCCTAAACCCTAAACCCTAAACCCTAAACCCTGACCCCTAAAATCCCGCACCAGGGATCCGGGCATAAACGTCCGGGACGTGGGCATACGCGACCTGGGCAGTGCATTTTCAACTACACTCCAAGCCCTAGAAGCCCTCTAACAAAGGGGGTTTAGGGTTTAGGGTTAGGGTTTAGGATTTAGGTTTAGGGTTGCTTAATGTTTGGAATGGGATTTTTTTTGGGGGGGGATTATAGTATATTGCTACAGGGACCACAAGAGAATTCTATTCGTAGATGTTTCCAACCCTTCTAGTACCATGAACATTCGTGGTCTGAAGGATGGAATAAAGTGGGAAAGTGAGGCTTTCAAGGCCGTTTGGACAGATCACTTGCAGGGACATGTCCGAGACGCATCTCACGCTTGCCTTTGTCCGAGTCCTCTTCTTCATGCAAAGACAGTAGCCCTGAAGGTGAGACTGAGAGCAATGTCATGTCCTTCGCCTTCGCTCATGGATGACTCACGGCTCGAACTTGATACCTGTGGCTTCTTCACTGGTCCTCCACAGCATCTCGACTGCTTTCGGGTCGTTCTCATAGGCTTTGGGCGGGTTTGGCACAGCGGGGCCTGAGGTTCCCGAATTCTTGGGGCCATAGAGAACACCACTTTCGGCGTCCGGAGCCACCATGCATTTCAAGAGGCCCATGGTCCCATCTTCAGGTGATTGGGCAAAGCAAGGCATGAGGCACCCGATCAGGCAATCCGCGCAACAGCCGTGCCTTCGTTGCTGAGTTCATAAGCCCCCCAAAACTGTGTACCCTTTCAGTTCTATAGGGGATTATAGTATCCCAAAAAGTGTAAAGTGTACTGATTCAGCTACTAAGGTGCTTCAAGCCGTTGGCGAGATTGGTGGCCGAGCCACCCGGGTGTGCGCAAAGGGACCGTACCTTGGACCCGCGCGCTGCCAACTTCTCGTGAAGCCCATAGGTAAACACCTTGGGAGCCCAGAGTAGCCATCTCATAATAAGGGCACCCTTTTTTGGGGGGGTTGGTTGCTGTATAAGGGAACCTTGAACCGAAAAAGGGCAGAACCCTAAACCCTAAACCTTAAACCATAAACCCTAAACCACTGGGCTACCAGGACACTGAGTTCGCCAACTTGGTTTGGAAGTAGCGGTGATAGCAGGCGCCCCCCATCAGTTTGATGGAGTCCCCACCCAAGTTGCCACCATTCCTTGGTGCTACCAGTACCCATACTACACTAAGGCTACCCCTTTTTTGGCGTTGGATCCTTCAGTAGCCATAAGAGGAACCCAGAACCAAGAAAAGTACTAAAGTATAGTTCTCCAGAACACAGTTTTCTAAGGGAACCCCCCATAACCCAGAAAGGGCAAAACTAAGTGTAATTATACTACTCAGCTGCCAAGATTCTTCCCGAAGTACTTCTCCTCCAAGCCGTTGTTGACCTCGACCCAAGAGACCCTAAACCCTAAACCCTAAACCCTAATTCCTAAACCCTCGACCCTAAACCCTAAACCCTGAACCCTGAACCCTAAGCTAGGTCCTAGTGACGGTGTGAAGCCGACCGAGGCTGGAATGGCTGACAATGCGAGCGTCTCCATTTGCTGCTGCCTCAGCCTCCAGCGGTGGGGTTTAGGGTTTAGGGTTTAGGGTTTAGGGTTTAGGGTTTGGGGTTTAGGGTTCTCAGCCTCCAGCAGTGGGAACAACTCTGCCGTGAGGAGGAAGTGAGATAGGTGGTTTGTCTGCATCTGGGTGTCATAGCCATCCTTAGTGGCTTCGTCAGGTGTGGCCATGATGCCCGCATTGTTTGCGAGGCAGTAGATCTTGGTGTACTTTGACCTTACTTGCTGAGTTCCCAAGGCCCCCAAAAAGTGTACACTGTCAGTTCTATTTGGGATTAGAGTATCCCAAAAAGGGTAAAGTGTGCTTACTCAGCTACTGAGTGACTTGATCTCTGCTGCCGCCTTGCGGACACTCTCGAAATCCTGCAGGTCGCAAGCGACGTCGCAGAACTTTCCTCGGCTGGCCCTGAAAAACCCCGAAAAACTATTCCTGAATATGACCATCCTAAACCCAAATAAGAGAAATTACAAAATGTCCCAAGGGCCTACCGAGTTTCCATCTGGAACGATCTCCTTCAGCCGCTGCAGAGAATCGGCGACTCGCTGGGATGGTCGGTTTAGGAGAAGAACCTCCCCACCCAGCTCAGCTACCACCTTACTTCTCCAACAACCAAGGGAAATATAAATTTAGCTGTTCCTACTAAACAAGGAAACCCCCCAAAGAGTTTAAAGTTCAACTATTTGGCTAAGCAAGCCGCCCATGCAGCAACGAAGCCCGTGCCCGAAGTGGTTCCCGTGATGACAAAGACCTTTCCATCCACGCGAGGGAGTTCCTTCTTGAACTTGGGAAACCACTTGGAGTTCGGCATCGACACAAGCCACGGATCCTAAGGTCCTCCGGCAAACTCCTGCAACCAGGCCAAAAATTGACTGCAGATGGCTGCGGCACCACATACGATGCTTCAGGAGCATCTTCCTTCATCGTGGGGTTTTCGGGCATGGGCGCGGGCTTTCTGCACTTTTCAAATGCCGCGAGAGCTGTAGCAGAGGTTCCTTTTGGAGCTTCATGGGTACTTCTAAGTAGGGTTGCAAGTAGGGCAAGTATGGTTATAACCGCATGTAGCTACTTAATTTAATTCATAGACATGTACACATGACTATCCCCGAATCCCTAAACCCTAAACCCTAAACCCCTGAACCCTAAACCCTAACCCTAAACCCTAAACCCTAAGCCCTAAACACCCTAGCAAGCATGAACAGGCCAAGCCATTAGGGTGCTGAAGGCAGCCATCATGTCCCAGTTGGTTATCGGGATGTACGAGAGCATGATGCCCTGGAAACAGGACGGTTTTGGAGGGTTTACGGTTTAGGGTTTAGGGTTTAGGGCTTAGGGTTTAGGGTTTAGACAAGGTCAAGCTGCTACAGCGTTTTCATACCCGAAGTTATAGGGTCATGCAAGCGAGCCGAGGGGGGGGACCTGAGTCCTGCAGGTAGAGGCACAGTTCGTACTGGGTTTACGACTTCTTCGCGATGTTTTGTGGGAATCGCTTTCCATGCGTCAGTGCCCCCCGTGCAAATCCACATGATGATGCCTAACCCGCCTAGTTAATTTTCGGGCCCATTACGCAAAAATGGCTACCGTGGGCCGTCTGTTATTGCATAATGTTCAAATATAAGGGTGCTGATGTTGGCAATTGTCTAGGCAACTGCATTAGTTCTCGGCCGTTTGCCATCGCAACCCAGTAAGAACGAACACTTTGTTGGCTGGAACGTCCGGCAGCATCACCTTAGATTCTTAGATCAACTCCGAGAGGGAAAGTATGAACTGTCAAGCGGACTGCACAACAAACAGCGAGCCCAGGTGTGCATGGACGTATCCCCGATGGTGAACCCTAAGACCTGGCGCCTGAACACTTAGATGGGCAAAGTGTGCTCAACAGCCGTGTTGGTCGTGTCTATAAATACAGATCTAAATACGTGTATACGTATATGTATATGTATATGTACATGTATATGTACATCTATATCTATATCTATATCTACGTTTCTCTATATGTATGTATGAATATGTATGTATATATATATATATATATATGCCTCCCCCCCCCCCTCAAAGATCCACCGTTTTGGAGACTTGCAGTAGACAACGCAGTTCCCGTAGCTTTTACTCGTTTCTCCGGACGAGACGTACAACCACCTGAAACATACTGAAAAACACAAATATATCATCAGTAAAGTATCTAAACAAAACCTTATGGCGTACGTACCCCTTTCACTAGTCTTTCACTCAAAACCACCCTAAACCGTCGCTATATTAAGATATGACAGCACACAACCACCTGAAGCACCCTGAAAAACAAGAATGCAACCGTAAAGTATCTAAAGGGCTTCTGGCGGTCTCAGGGAATAGTGAAAAGATATTTGCTCACAGTATCCTCGCGTCCCCGGCACTTACAGCAGATGATGTTTTTGCATCATCTTATGCCTTCTTTATTGTATGTGTTTGATATACAATACTTGTACCCTATATACATACATGATGTGGGTATTTCTTCTACTTTCTCTTTGGATTAGGGTCTAAACCCTATAGACGGTTTTAGAGATAAACCCTGAAAAGACCCGAAACCTTTCAACGTTATAGGGTTTAATATGGTTTAATGGTTTACAAACTTAAGGTCCGGGCATGTATACCTTCAGCTCCCATGGGGTTAAAACCGTTGAGCCTTTTTGGGCCCTATAGGGCTTTAGGGCTCAGACCCTAAAAGTTTAGCGAAAAGGTGTAAATGCCTCAATCTTAAACCTACATGGGCTTACGTTTAAGTGCCTAAATCACAGGGTTATAAGGTTCTGCTCCTTGGTACTGCCTAAACCTTAAGCCAATAGGGTCTAAACCCTATAGGGCTAACTCCGTGACGGTTCTAGAGATAAACACTGCAAAAAAACTCAAAACCTTTAACCCCTATAGGCTTTAATGGTTTACAAACCTAAGGTCTGGGCATGTAGACCTTCAGCGCCTATAGGGTTAAAGCCTTTGAGCCTTTTTGGGCCCTATAGGGCTTTAGGGTTCAAACCCCAAACGGTTAAAGTGCCTCAACCTTAAACCCTAAGGTTTGGACTTTATGGGCTTAGGTTGTAATGCTTATAAATCTTAAACCCTAAACCTTAAACCTATAGGGTCCAAAGCTTAAAGGTTTAGGTTTAATTGCCGACTTATGTGCAAATGCCTAAATCTTAAACCCCAAACCTTTAAACCTCAACCATATAGGGTTCAAAAGTTAAGGGTTTGGGTTTAATTGTTTAACCCAAAAGGGTTTCGGGGTAAACCCTTAAACCAATAGGTTTTAGAGAATAAGCCCGCAGTGGAGCTGAGGAGGGCGGGGCCAGTGAATCCGGATTGTTGAAGATGGTGGGCTTAGGGTGTTCCTGCATTTTTAAGCTTGCATTTAGAAATCTACGTTAAATGCGGGCAGACCCCAGGAACCAAGAACCAAGAACCAAGATGCTCAGGAGTCTTGATTCGTGGCTCTTGGTTCCTGGCGCTGGGCTGCATATAAAACTGCATTAAAAAATTTAAGTTAAATGCAGACCAGCCCCAGGAACCAAGAACCAAGAACCAAGATGCTCAGAACTCTTGATTCTGGAATCTTGGTTCCTGGGGCTGGGCTGCATTTAAAACTGCATTTCAAAATTTAAGTGCAATGCAGACCAGCCCCAGTAACCAAGATTCCAAAATCAAGAGTTCTGAGTATCTTGGTTCTTGGTTCTTGGTTCCTGGGGGTGGTCTGCATTTAACTTAAATTTTTAAATGCAGGTTCAAACTTCACAGGGTCGTGTCCGCATTTAACTTAAATTTTTAAATGCGGTTGAAATTCACGCGGCCTCGGTCAAGTAATTTAAGGTAATGGTGTCGTGTGTCGTTTGTTATCATGTGTTTGGCTATTAAAACATAGAAAAAGTAAAGTAGCACATCAACAAGGCACCAAGAGCACATCACCAGAGGGAAAAAAGGGAAAAAGGGGTGGATCTTTGGGGGGGTACCATATATATATATACACACACGCACGCACGCATACACATACATGTATATGCACATATACATATACTTAATCGTTGATTTGTACATCTGTGTCATTGCGTATAGTTGTTCATTTCTCATTCCTTTCCCAAGACACAGTGCGAAGGATCAAATACACAGTCGAAGCAGCATGCCACTTGCAGCGTTAACCGCATAGCCCCACAAGAAATCGGTACCCCGAAGACCGAAGCCCTAAACCCAAAAAAACACTAAACCCGAAAGGTGCGATATTAAAAATGCAGGAGCCAACAGGAGAAGCAACGCTTCCATAAGACGATGCTGAACAGGAACCCTCCTCAAATAAGAAGCCACCATAATACGGGACCTGTAAGGATTACTACTGCTTGCTTAAGAACCGCCCCCCCTCCCCCCCCCCCACCCCCCCCCCCAAAAAAAAAAAAAACAAACGAATAAATAATAAATAAAATACTAATAATCAGATATAATAGATGTAATAATATTGATGATAATAATAAAATATATATGTATATGTATATCTATATAATGTGCATATATATATATGTATGTATAGATGTATAATCCCAAAATCACCCTTCTAAGGAAGGTTCCTTTTTTGATTTGGGCCTTCTTATGCAATTGGTAGACTAAGGGATGGTCGAGCTTATGAATGGATATCAGGACTTTGGGATGCCAGGTCTAGGGTTTAGGGTTTAGGGTTTAGGGTTTAGGGTTCAGGGTTCAGGGTTCAGGGTTTAGGGTTTAGGGTTTAGGGTTTAGGGTTTAGGGTGGTGAGCCTCCTTCAGGTTGTACATGTCACCCACGGCCATGGCCGAGTATCTCGGCTGCAGAACTCGCATGCGAGGTCTGCTTCGGATTGTGGTGGGTTTAGGGTTTAGGGTTACAGGGTTTAGGGTTCAGGGTTACAGGAATTAGGGTTTAGGGTTTAGAGTCTAGGGTTTAGGGTTTAGGGTTTAGGGGGCGAAAAACCCCAGGCCCTGGATGCAAACGGCGCGAAAGTGTTTTCGGCAGGCTAGCGGTGTCTTGGCTAGGGCTATCTATCCGCCATGCCGTGTGGGTTAAAGCAACCAGGATCGGCTATTAGGCCTTAAAATCTCCATAATGAACCCTGTTGAGAGCCTTTTAAGGGATTATAGGGTATAATAGCCCATCCTGGAATGAATATGACCTACTACCAAGCATAGGCGATGGTTACAACAAAGTTTTAATGGGCAAGGATGTTTTAGAATCGATCTTACCCCCCATGTCCACCATCCCGCACCAAAACTCTACATCTGACGCCCGACATCCCCAAACAAGCTTCTCGAGGTAGGCAATGCAATGCAGAAAGGGACAACTGCTACAGGAAGGTCGAGAAAACTTCAGGACGGTCGAGAAAACTCAACCCTGGCCTGCGAACTGGGAGGCTTCCTTTTGGGCTTAGGGTTTCGCGTTTAGGGTTTAGGGTTTAGGGAACTGGGAGGCTTCCCTAAACCCTAAGCCCTAAACCCTATAGGGACCTGGGAGGCTTCCTGTTTCGAACTTGTCTGCAAGCTTTTGGGGTTCGATCGTGGCATTGCAATCGGAAAGAATATATGGGAGACTGCCTTGAGATCCCCCCAAAAAAAAGAGGAATGAAGATTCTTCCTTACAAGGGTAGTGTCACTCTACGTGGTTTGAATGCCGTACCCTAAGGCTTTTTTTCGGCTAGGACTGCTGCACGAAACCCTAAACCCTAAACCCGAAACCCTAAACCCCAAGTTCGACAAGCTGCAAAGTTTAGGCCTGCCGTGCCGCCGAGATGCCCGCTCTGGTTGCCCCGGTGCACCATAAGCT